CATCAAATCTGCCTTCAGTATGGTGGATCGATGTACGCTTTGGGACTTCTGCTTAGGAAAAGCGTGCTCAGGAAATAAATAAGCATTATCATAGCGCTTTACGTGCGTAGTTCGAGTAGAATGAGGTTTTATGGCATACTGTCGCCGCCTTCCAGCGGTGTGCGACGTTGATGGCAACTGTTACCCTTCTCTGCTAACATTTGCTTTTAACGAAGTCATGAAAACTGCGTGCATTATACGCAACTTAGTGAGTGTGAAACTTGTTTAACTTGCTTGACTTCTTTACTGGGATTACACTGACGACATTAATCTGTGCCAAGCAGAACTGGACAAATTGGCACTGACTACCAGCTGTTTCAGGCTTTGCTACGTATCCTCGATACGCAAATCTTTCTTCTAAGATCGTCAGGGACCGCCTCCTCCACTGAACGCTGGTGGAGACTAACTAGAACTTGTTCAGAAATTAAGCTATTTGCGCAGCCGTATCATCCTCTGTGGGACAGCAGATAAAGCGATGTCTCAGTCACTTTAGGGGCAGTCCACTGCATACATGCCACTGCGACACAGCACTTCCGTGTCCGCAACTCTGTCACCTCAGACAATACGCAGAATCCGACGTAGGCATTATTGATGGAAGCACTTCAGATAATGGATGTCCTTCCGGCACAGCGTCCACATTCCGCTGCTGTATAAGACGGACAAAACAATCGCCCGGTATGCATTCATTTTCGTCCCAACACTAAGCTGGTGATTCCTCCACACACCTTATTTTAGTTTACCAAATTCAGCAGCCGCCTTGGATACGCGAATGCATCGCTAGCTCGTCATCTCCAGATCTGTGGATAGGATAATTTAGGTTCTGTCTCCAATACGTCACAAGCAACCTGAATTTCTGACAGGTCCACGGACCTCATTTCTTTTAATGACTGAAGAAGACAAACGGTCTTGCTTGTCTTGATCGTGAGCCTGATCTTGGCCACTGTCGAAGTGAGAGCCGTAGTCATGCGATTCAACTCATCTACGTTGTGTGCAAATAACGCGCAGTCATCTGCAAACAATAACATACGGATGGCTGTTTGACACACTAGTGTTCTCGCCCCGAAACGATGGATATTCAGTAACCCGCCAATACACTGTCACACACGGGCACCGTAATCACAAGCAGCATCGAAAGCTCAAGATATCATTGCATTTAGGTAAATGTTAAACAGGACTGGGGCTAAGGCAAAGTCATCAGAGATATGTTCACTCAGCTCAACCCTTCTCCGCATATCACTGTGCATTCATTCATACTTATTCGGACAACGAGTCAATGTGCCTCGCGGTTCACCGTGTCTGATGCCCTGGTGAAGTCACCAAACGGGGAGTACAATGGCTGGTGTCGCTCTCGTCATTTCTTTCGCAACTGACGAGCCTCGAACACCATATCTATGATGCCACGGCCCGAACGGAATCTGCATTGCTCTTCTGCCATGCGCGCTTCAACGGCCTGAGTGAGGAAGCAGTTAAGCAGGATTTTTGCGATCACTACCCTGACACAACTCAGCAAGTTGATGCCATAATAATTCGCGCAACATTGCTTGCTTCCTTTGCACTTGAATATTGGCAGCACAAGAGCATCCTTCAGCTCAGGACACACCTCAATCCACAAGCGTTGCACCAAGTGGTACAGCGCATGTATCAGCTCGGGTCCGTCGTGTTTGAACACTTCTGGCTTTATCCCGTCGGAACCGTCACACTTGCCGTTTCGCAGCTCAGTAGGTGCCCTCTGCGTCTCATCCACTGTCGGTGTGTCGTTAAGACACGTCTTCATCTATTGTCGTTGCAGCCCGTGCTACACATTTCAGTCAATCTCCGAACGGTTGTTCAAGAGGCAATCAAAGTACTTTCGCCAAATCTGTATTATCTCTGCAGTCTGTGTATAAGCAGCGCCCGAAATAAGAGTAGCGTCCTCAGCGGCTGCAAAGTTGGTCCATACACCTCCTTTAATGAGTCAAGGAATTCCTTATGCTGGCGGCGTTCCGCTTAGCATTCCATATGCCTCGTTTTCTGGTTCATGGTTTGATTTTGTACTAATATATTGCCAAGACGTCCACACCTGAACAACAGTACGACTGGGATTCTTAGCCAAAGCCCTCGACAAATCGTATTCTCATAGGGTTGTGGGTCGTACACCATGAGTCAGTGAACCGACTCACGCGGAATTGCATGTACTGGCTTCTGGATAGAAGGAGGGTGTAACCCAACTCCCACCAGGTAGTCGCCACGAGAGGTGTCCATGACACGAGTCCATGGCAGGACATTTGGAACAGCAGGTTAACGACTTGTCAGGGCCCATCCACCATAATCCTCAGCGTACTACTTATTCTCCCGCCACATGCACATCCACATAAATATATACATTCCTAGATCCACTGTTACCGGCAGACTTGTGACATTTTGGCAGTTCTGTAATCTATCATTGTCCTCTTACCATGATCATGGTTGTGCGGGCGTGCCTCGCGTGGTCGAGAATATACAATTTGTTCATTGCGCAATCAACTTCGTGTGTAACAAAGTAAGCAGTGACGCCGCGCATTGGACAGAGATTCTACAGAAGAAGTATCCACAAGTTTTCAAGGGCGGTCTGGGACCGTGCACGAAGACCAAGTATTCGAGAGGCTGCAATCAATCGGTTATCAAGCCGGCCAATTACTCGCCATGGGCAACCCCAATCGTGATTGCCAAGAAGCCAAATGAGAAGATTCGCCTCTGCGCAGACTTCTACATGCCTGAATGCCGCATTAGAAGATCATCAGCACTCACTTCCTCTTCTTGAAGACCTCTACACATTTGATTGGTAGCAAGTGTTCTGCCAAACTGGACTTGTCTGACGCTAGTCTCCCGATAGAAGTGTCTGAAGAATCGCGGGATCTGCTATCAATAAACACCCATCACGGATTATTCCAATATACGCGCCTACCATTTAGTGTTAAATTGGTCCTGGCAATTTTTCGATAGATCATGGACACGACGTTACAAGGAATATCATATGCCGCATCTTACCTTGATGGCATCGTCATGGTGGGCTCTAACTCTGAAGAACTGAGCCAGCGAACAGAACACGTGCTTCACAGAATAACCGGGTGTGGATTCCAGCTGAGAATGGACAAGTGTGGGTGCTTTATGATGTCCGTTAAATACCTTAGTTTTATCATAGACCAAAATGGGCAACGACCGGATCCGTGAAACACTAAGGTGATCAAGAACATGCCACCACTCAAGGATTAAACGACATTGAAGTCTTTCCTTGGTACTGTGGTAGTTACTACAGTATCTACCTACCGTCCATGTATAACCTATGCGAACCAGCTGCTGATGAAGGATGTCCCACGGGTCTAAACCACCGAATGTTAAGCTTTTGACACGATCACTTTGTTGTTAAGTTCAGAACTTATGCTGACGCACTATAATCCAAAGCTGCCAATTGTCGTGGCATGTGATGCATCCAGTTACCAAGTCGGTGCAGTCATTTGCACATTGTTCCAGACGGATCGGAGAAGCCAGTCGTTCATGTCGTTCGTTCATTGACCGCAGGAAAAAGAAATTATAGTCAGATTGAGGAGGCTCTGGCCATCGTGTTTGCGGTGAAACACTCACAAAATAGTAAATGCTCATCATTTCACCCTGTTGACGGACCACAAACCACTTCTTACTATATTCGGTTCGAAGAAAGGGATCCCAGCCATCTACAAAGATGGGCCACAACATTGCTGGAGTATGATTTCACCATCAAATACCGATCTGCGAGCGACATCTGTCAGGCCGATGCACTGTTACGACTGTTGCATGAACAGCGTCAGCCAGAAGACACCGGCGTTGCGAATATCTCAATCGAAACGGAAGTAAATCGCGTCCTTTCAAATACTAAACTACCTCCCGATATCTTTCAATCTGATTCGAGAAACCACCTGACGGGACCCGTTGCTTTCAAGGGTGAACACGTTTTACTACTCACAGTGGCCACGAAAAATTTCGGATGCGCAGCTGTAGCAGTTTTTCCAGAAGTGAAATGCATTATCTATCGTACAAGACTGCATTCTGTTTGGTGAACGCGTCGTCATCCGGCTCAACTCCAACCTAAAGTTATAAAGCAGTTTCATGCTAAACATCGTGCTCCAACAGAATGAAGACTCTGACGAGAGATTACGTATGCTGGCCGTTTATGGATTCGTAAATTGTGAAATTTACGCGTTCATGTTCAAAATGTGTCCTTGCTGCAAACTAACCACGGAACTGCAAGCTGACCCCTAAAATCGGTTCTTTATCCTAGCAAGTCGCAAGCAAATCCCATTGGTGGATCGTTAGAGTGTTTTAGAACCATCTGTCACGATTACTGGTAAGTGAGTAATAAGAGAGAACAAAGAGCGTTCAGGAAGGTCAACGGCACCATATAAGCACCGTTAGCATGCACCATGTAATCGCTGTCTCTTTTGGTGAACAAACTGGTACTTGAAGACCGTCTTCTTATCAGCCAACCAGAGCGACCTTGGTGACTGTGACACTTAAATAGTTCGTCTGAACGGCGAAGATCGAGTGCAAGTTGCATTTGAACAGAAGTGTGAAACTGTGACGCCCTAGATGAACGTCACTCGTTGTCAGGATGTCGTCTGGCCCGTTCTGATCCAGTTTTTTTAGGTATCCTAGGTCGCCGCCATTTATAACATATTGGATAGGCGAGCTAAGTAATCCATTCCACCACATTGCCTTCCAGTCTTTTTACGACGACATCAGAATTGTTTTCTTGTCTCTCCATTCCCGTTTGTTTGAGCTCATCTAATGTTAACTCAGATTTCTCGTGACCCGCTTCTTTCTATTCACTTTGTGCTTATTGTATTTATGAAACCATCCTACTTTTTTGTTGGATCACTAACGGATTTTTCTAAGTTGATTGTTTTCCCGATACCTTCATCTTTGAACTCATCAGATTTTTCGCTCGCTCACCTTTAACCCATTTTCAGCTGAACTTGAACCCCCATACTTCAGTGCAACGAATCCCATGGCAGCATTGTATCAGATAGCTTCCAACGATGCACCATGTCTAGTGGGTGGAAATTGGAGCGATGAGTTCCGTGACTTCGTGCGTTGTGTTCTTCAGAAGGACGTAAGTTATTTTGCTGATCAGTGAAATTATTTAACTCTCAGCTTAGCTAGACAGTTTTTTGAGGATTTGGATACTTTTGTAAAAGTCGGCATGTGACCAAAAGGATTACACGCCTGCCTTGTAATCCGTAGATCACGAACTCGCATCTGCGCTGGTGCGAACAATCTCTTGGTGTACCCAGCCCACGCGTGGCAACAGAGTGTCGGTACGTTGTGCCGGCCTACTGCTGACGTCTTTCTTGCATCTAAGATTGTAAAGTTGAGAATAATGTTTCTAGGTGAACAGCATTATTGCACGCATCCTTGTGCCAGAGAAATATAGGCGGTTTTGGTATGATACGCACTCAAAAGTACTTTCTACGCTTCTCGATTATCCTCAGAAGTTTTTTCTTGAGAGTAAACTGAGAGATGAAAGACACTACCTTATATCAGAGCATCTGAAGCTAATAATTCCATTACAACCATGCGGTCTGTCATTCTCAAACTCTTCTAAATGGGTATCATTTGCGACTGTAGGCCTTACTGCTCTGAAACCAGTACTAACTTAAAATCAGCCACACTAGAAACTTGACAAGAAATATTCTTAAATGGGTTATCATGTGTGAGGTTGGTTGAGATACTAGTAAAAATGATCTAGCTAGTCCTTCAAGTTATGCTCAGTTCAGCGAATCGATTAGTTCACACGGTTCGCAGACCTATTAAATTATGCTCCCTGATCTCACATTCTTGCGTTACGGGTATACTCGTGTACACCGCGATAAAATTAATCGTTTGGTTTATTCTCTTAGTTCACTGGGCCTCGCGAAGTTGCATCATCCAATCATACTTGACCAGAAGCATGCTGCTTCACCATCCCCATGAACGCAATTCACGGGTTATAGGCGCCGAACTGGTGTAGTGCATTTGCCTCAACGGTTATCTCTAACAGTTGTAGAGCACCACTGACTTGCCATCGTACGCTTCAGGCTAAGCGGTCTTTAACTCATAGGGTACCGAGCCGCCACAATTCACCTGAAGTTGGTCGTGTTCGCAGGCATATTGTCTACTATGGTCGAATAGAGTAAATTGTCCGTGGTCTTCGACGGCTGTGGCCGGCCGGCCTCAGACAGGTCCTAATGAGGCCAAGCAAGCCCACACTCGAGATGGGTTTGCTCCCCCTTGCTTTGCGAGTCAGTGATTAGTAAGGAAGTCCTCGAATTACACCTATTTTCCGGAACGAGTAGCCAGATGGTGTTCTTTGTTCACGATCCCGCCACCTATTTTCCTCCTTTTTCTGTACATGTTTTGTAACCAACAAATGGGCACTCATTACTTCGCAACACGTGTTGGTGGTGTTTACCAAATCAAGACCCTTAATACGTATTTCCTCATGCACATTTCGCACTCTGTAAACTCTAACAATAGCCACTATTGGTTTTCATAATACATGCCCTCGGAATAGATCTATGTTCTGTCTCGAACCACGCATAAAGGATTGTATCGCCTTACTAAGGACCTACATTCCATTGTCGGTGATTCTATGGTTCGCGTTTCTGGTGCCGCCTAATCATTGACCCGTGGTACTTATTGTGTTATTAAAACACAGCGATAATGCTGAAAACGATCTATTTTCGACTGGGTCCCAAGAAACCGCTGCATGTGGGCATTTTTACTCCGCACCACCACCAGGTTTAGTAGCCATGTTGGCTGCTTCCTAGCGGCCACCTCTCTTCATTCACCTTTGTTACTGAGACCTCGAATTTTGTCATCTCCGCATCAAGTAAGACTGAGATGAGTGCTCAAGTGAGCAGCTTGTCGTCGCCGACGTTTGCCGTATTCATGTTAGTAGTCAGTTTCTCCAACATCGTGCCGACAGCAAGCTTTTATATCAACAACATAGCCTTCAGCATTGTTGTTCGCTCGAGTCGCTTGGCGCCTGCTGAACGCTAACCGATCACACTGTCATTGTCTCTGGATGGTGCATCCCAGCTGTAGATAGCAGCCCTATTTAGGAGCCTACCTAGACTCTGATCATCCCTAATGCCCGATTATCACATCTTCGGATAGCATCATTTCGAGTCTGTTTACTCTAGCTGATTTCAATCTGTGAAACATCATTATAACATCAGCTGGTCCTGATGTACGAGGTGAATAAATCGGATACCTGTCGGTGTCACCTCCATTGTTCCATGAAAAATGTACTGGTGACAGTTTGTTCTCTAGATCGGTTCTCTTAAATAGTTAATGCATTTCTAATTCGTCTATTAGCTTACTAGAATGGCGAATCGTTGCCCTACCAGGGTTTCTCTTTCAAGCTGTATCTGTACGGTAAGCGTCGGAATAATGGAGAAAGCCAGTGTTAACGGGAGCGACGAGTCACTGTGTTAGGTCATCACTAGCTCACATAAAACAACAAGTACTCAGTGAAGAAATCAGAGCATGTAAACGTTGAACTTTTCGGCCCTCCGACCTAAAGTTTTTTCTACACCAAGTCAAGATAAGTTTTATGTAACCAGATGGGTGCAGTCTCCGCGTCTAACACTATCAAGTGCTGATGGACTAAAATGGCATCAGCACAAATGCGAAATTGTAAAGTAATGGAAATGGGTCAGGAATACAATTGAGCAAACAGTCACACACTCTCGTGCAACGACCACACATTGCTTGAGAGAATTATCGGGCTTTGTATCCAATTGCCTAGGATTTTGTAACCGATAGCACCAAATCGCGAATCGTGCACAGTAACTCAACCCTTCTCTCTCCCTCCAAAGTCGATGGAGTAAGACAGCCTCATATTGGCTGTCCAAATAATTTTTATAGAACTGATAAATCAAAATTGGATAGTCTAACGACGGTGTTTAGATAAAAACGGCGACGGTCGATTTAAAGCCTGAGTCTGAACATTGACCAACTTTCATCGCAATGGCCCCACTGAAGTCTTGCCGTATTCGACAGGCTAAGCGTAATGTACTTTCCACGCCACCAACAAAGCGAATAAAGTGCGAAGCCCCAAAAGAAGGGTAAATCTGTTCTTTGGCTAAAAGTAACCTCATCGCAGAGCTAAATGATAAATTGCTATCTTTGGAATCACAATTTAATGAGATGAGAAATACGCTGACACTCTTCGAACCCCACAAAGATCACCTGATTACGCTTGACTACATCAATAACCCATTGGAGAAGACTGATCCTGTTCTAATAGGAAAAGCAAGGCAGTTAATTGCCTCTGAAGTGCACAAACGAATATGTAGAGCGAAAATGTGATTGTTTTTAATGTTTCGGACAGGTCGGATCTGGGTAATGTAATACTGATGATACTGAAAGCGTGTAACATATCTGACCTCGAAGGCAAATGACAAAGAAACATTGTTGTCCAATCATTTTCAGTTTTTGAGCGAGGTAGTCGCGCAGCGATTTCCCCATGGTGGACCCATCTTAGGTCAGTACACCCAATTTAATGGCATTTTGAGTAAACCAGATATGGCACCCTTACAAATATCCGAAGTTAGCACTGTACCGCGAACACCAAAAAAAACTAGGCTCTTCGATAAATCTCCGCCAAACGTCCAAAAGACGAGTGCTTCCAAGATGGATACTAGATGCATTGATTTAGACCACGATAATTTAACAATGTTGTCGACTATCTCCAAAGCTGTCCTTCCTTGCTCCACTGAAACATCCTCTACACAAGGAACGGATAAATCGGGTTCTCCTATTTCTGACAACAGCACTCCCATTATATCGAACTCATGCATAAGAATTGTAGGAAAGTCTAAGTGGTTGGAACAGTGGAGTAATGACAACACGAATATATCACAATCCTGTCCATACCAACAAGACTCGTCCAAGAATGGACAACTTGAGGTAATTCATAGTCCACTGTCTCCCAAGGATGACTTCTCCAATCCAGTGACCTGTGTCTTTAAAAAACCTATGGATGCTAAATACTCGGCCGCACCCCAAAATTCCCTATCGACCAACCTACAACCACCAGGGCAAACAACCTTCCAAGTTGAATAAGACCCATAACCACTGTCTCTTGGCTACGCCTGTTTATCATCATACACTCCACAACAATCACTGGAAGTACGCAGATAATAGCAGGACATCAGCCAGTAGGACTATGTTACCACCCGCTCCTTTCCACGTTTCTTCAACCTCTCAAGCGTCTTCTTCCAACAACTCTTTTTTTAGTGGCGACGGAAATGCACTCGTACGCATTCTCATTTGATACATCCGGCGGAGGTCAACACCTTGATCCCACTCTTCCTCCAGTTTGTCCAGATTACAAAGCTAGTCCATTGTCAAATCAACGGCGACCTAATAATGATGCCTCGGTTCCCGTCGTGTCCCCAACTGTCTTGATATCCATACATGATATGCTACCTTTATCAACAGACGTTCTAATGGCTAACTCGGGCCCACCATACTCGCATTTACCTACCACGTGCACCATGCTCGAACGCAAAGATTCAGATGATCACACAAGACAGCGATCATTCACCAATACTTAGTACATTTTCAATGATTCTGCTTAATACCAGATCCCTAATTAACAAGCTTCATTTTCATAAATACCCTTGCACAGTTCAGTGACCCACAAGCGATCCTCATCGCTGAAACCTGATGTTCTTCAGATACGCTTAACTACTGATGCTTCCAACCTACCATCTATTTCGAAAAGATCGCTGCGACAGAAAAGGTGGAGGATATATTATATACCCGCGCAAAACGTTTACAGCTATAGACCACCCACAATTGGAAAATATCCCTGAATCTATTTGCCTGCCAGTTGCGGGTGTTTCATCTTACACACTGCTGGCATGTATCTGCAACCCACCGAATGCGTCTAACGTGAGTATCATCAACATCACTACTGCATTTGATTTCGCATCAGAGTTGCTACAAAGCGAGAATATTATTGCCGATGATTTCAGCCTACCGAAAATAAGCTGATCATCCCACCCAAATTCTGCCTCTTTTCTTTCCTCCATCATAGCAGGTTGCTGGACACAATGGATTACCAGTCCAACCAGATTCGCCAATGTATTATACTCAATATTCACATAGGGGATACCCTACCCACAGACCGAGATCGTAAACAATCTCCCTGCGACCATAACATGATCCGACTCAGTTTCCACGTTAAAATGGTCACTAAACTCGCCTCTATACCACCAGTCGAAACCCATAAGATAAACTGGGAATGCCGTCAGTAGTTGATTCGTTTCTCTGACTAGGATGTATTTTTCCTCTCTACCACGGTGTAAACTGCTGTGGATCAGTTCTATAAACAAATCCATTACGCTATAGCCCTCCTTGCTCCACAATGTGTTCATACCCCTCATGTCTCCAAAGATTCCATCGAGCACTTAATCAGCAAGAAAACCAGAAAATTAGCTACAAGATACAGAAAGACCCATGACTTTTCACTTGTCTTACAAATGCACGAATTTACCACTAAAGTCAAACATGCACAATTGACACGACGAAAAAAATGAAAAACACAGAGCCCTACGGACAAGCTGTAAAGCTTGTCAAAATACTGCATCGTAGAACCAGGGACCGCTCTCCTCTGCTTACCGAACTTGCTAATGGTGAGGGTCACTTACTCCATGACCCAGCTGAAATTTATGAAGTATGCAGTGAATTTTTTGCCACTACCATGAGTCGCGAAGCTGACCCTTTGTCTGTGTGCACATAGCTTACAGTAACAGACCTCTTAAACAGAGTCGATATCTCGCTCAACGCTATCCATCAAGTTATCAAATCAATCGGACCATCTTCCAAGCTGGGATCTGATAGTATTTTATCAACCACCATTAAACTAGGAGGGCCTGATATACCATTGCTCCAGATGAGCATGTTTACTCCATCACTGGAATATAGCCACTTTCCAGACCAATTGAAAATGTCATTTATTATGCCTCAGCACAAAGGAAGTCCCAGACAAACGATTGATAACTACCCACCAATCTACCACACTCCGATAATCGCTCGGCTATTTGAAAAACTGGTCAGATGATGAACTTTGTTGATTCTATTGGCCTAATCAATAAATCACAGCATAGTTTTCTTAACAAGCAATCATGCACCACCTGTTAATTGCATTACCTTAACCACATTTCAGAATCAGTGGATTCCGGCTATGCAGTAGTAATTCTGTTTCTTGACATACACCATGCATTCGACCGAGTACCGCACAAACGACTGTCACGAAACTTGGAGAACCTTGGGATCCGGGACCCATTACTAGGTTGGCTATCATGATAACTGAGTGCTAGTCAGCAGGTAGTCACTTTAAGTGATTATCGCTTTTCTCCAGACTCAGTCACCAGTGGAGTCATTCAAGGGAATGTGCTCGGTCCCTCTTTTCTTAAATTTGTGGGCTATCAGCTTATCATCCAGTGGTAAGATGTGCAACTCTACAGTGCCACCGGTGTCACTGGATCACTCAGAATCACGACCACAGCCCGTTGAATATATCATGAAACTGATTGTCCTTGGCTGCTAATACCTGCGGGAACTTACTCACTTGGTACTGGGTCATCGCATGGACAGTACCAATATTCGTACGCTGCTTTTTGATGTCGAGCCATCTGGTGCATCATTTGACCATTTTTATTAATTGCAGTATCACCTTCGTCATTGCACTTGCTTTTAAACAGTGCTGCCTTCCGGCGCAGCGGACGCCGAGATGCCACTTGGCTTCACGTGGCATCTAGTCAGCAATAGACCTGGGCTGATCACCTCGTTAGTGGCTTTAAATGACGTGATTCCTCCATTGATCACTGCTGGTTTTGGTACACGTGCGTCGACCTTTATTTTATCTTAGTCCGTTACCGATCTTCCTTTGCTTTTGTTGTGAAGAGCAATAAATGATTCGTTCTATCGACCATTGGGGAGTTATTTCGGTTTACGGTTACCCTGGCCTACCAGCATGTCTGTGTAGTATGCTTTCACCCAGTTTCTCTCAAGATATTGAGCGGTGGAATGTGTCTCAGACATCTTGCATGACATGGGATCTCTTGTTTGCGGCGCTATTCGTGTTGCGAGCAGCACCTAAAGAGTAGGTCAGGGACCACGGTATAGACGAAATTCCTGTGCTTTTTCGGAAATCCAGTGGAGTAATCACATTGGCCGGTCAGAAGAATGTTCTCGGACTATTTAATACTTTTGTTGACCAGTAAGGAACAGAAAAAAAGCAGAGGTCCTTTAAAGTCACAGGTTGCGCCATTAAACTGGTAAGCGAAACTTTGCCTTCTCGATCAGCAAATGGGAGCGGCTGGGTTCAGAACTGCTACTCTGAGCGACACGGTGGGACTTTGGTGACCATAAAAAATTTGATGGCGAAGTATTTCTGATTGCCGAACCCGAAATGCCATTTTCTAAGGAGGAACTCGCCGCGCTACTCCAGCATCAACAGAAGCAATTTGAAGCAAACCAGACAAGGTTGATCGAGGACCTCTTCCAGCGTCTAGCATTGCAAGCAAGCACAGACACTGAACGCAGCCGTCTTTGGTGTCGGTTTCTGTGGGTTTCAACATGACACGAATGCTGGCTCAACCTTCGAATCTTTTCAAAAGACACGAAGATGTTTTCGTATCTGAATTTGCAGATTCTGACGACGGATGAAAGCTTAGACTGCCTTTGTGGCACATCACATACCAACTATCTGAAAGGTCGGTGAACATGCTGGAATAACTGGCATCAGCAGTACGCTCTTACACCGTATTGACGCTTCGCTGCGGCCATTGGCGCTTGCGAAGATTGTCCGGTCCTCTACTCAGTCTCAAAGCAATGACATCTGGATTGCAAGGTAGACGCCTTGTCCTTTCGGCCACCAACCTTCAACATGGCTTGCCGAACAACCTCCTCGTGGTGCCAGCTGGGTGGTTCGGGATTTTCCCGTTCCAGCAAATGGTTCGGCGGCAGTGTTCCAGGACGTGGTGGGTTTTCGCCTGGCAAGCGTTCTCCCTATAAAAAGCCACATATGTCCGTTTAACAACACTGTGACGTGGCGGACGTGACTCGCCACTAAATAAAGTCACTGCCCCTTGCTTCATCCTGGCGAAGCATCGTATTCCAACAACCTTATGCTGAACTTCTGGGGAGCATTGGGCCCCTGTTTGACAAAGAAACAAACGAAAGGCGTATGAACTGAGTAATCAGTCACCGGCTCCCAATGGGCGCGATTCCCTGAATTCGCTCTGCTGCCTTGCGGACAGGCTATTCATCCAAAGGCTCGGGGTGGTGTCCCCTAAGTCAACACCCTACTTCGGCTTGGGCAACCGGGTAGTATCTCGCCCTCTGACGAAACCATGGACATTGTTGTGTTGTGTTTTATTTTACTATTTCTGTACCTTCGTTTGAATCCCATGGTTTCTGATGGCATCATGTCTGTTGGCAGACTTTTGCAAATATATATATACTGAGCAGCTGCTGTGGGCTCGAGGAGCAATGGAGCCTGTATACAAGGGGGCCTGGTGAACTCAAAGAGCTCTATAAGTGAAGGAGGCAGGGACTACGGGCAGACGTTTATCACTGACCCACGTCTTCGGATCCAAAAAATCCCTCTACATCGGAGCAACCATCGATAGCGCTGTCACTCTGATTATGTCCCTTTTAAAGCTGTTGATCGTCTATCCTCCAAGTATCGCTTACTGTCAGCGTATCTGGTCATTTGAAAACTGTGGAGCGATTAACTGATGGCATGGTAGAAGTGCACGAAGTTACTTGATAAATTTGCCCAGACTGATACGTCTTCCTTCGTCAGATCCTTGTGATCGACCACGTCTTCTGTTGGAGGTTTTAGCTTACGCGTTGCAGTCGCGGGGTCAGTGACGTTGATGTATTCAATCATTTACATCTCACTGCCATCATTGCAACCCGATTCCTTTTGCTTATCTCTTCTCGTAGCCCTCTTTATGCTGTGTCCGAAAAGACAGAACGGAGGTCGCGGGTTCGAACCTGCGTAGGGGGTCGGGTGACCTTCGCAGTATTTCTAGCCCACGCCCGATTGAGGATGGTTACGTGGCAGCGAAGCATCGGTACGGCGTACCACCGTACTGCTGATGCATTTCTTCTTACGCCGTGTTCTCTTTTGTGCTTAGCTTCATTTCCCCGTCACAGTTAATTATTTATCATGACGACCTGCGTCGTAACAACAATCCACCGCACTTCAACGCTGTACCCATATTTGTTTAACTGCAGCAGGCACTTGTTTACCCTGCACGTGGAATTTTCCCCGTCCCTCAGGTCTACCACATGCCGATTTGCTTATTACCACGGATTGCTTGTTTGACCCTAATCTACTTCTCGCATGCCTTCACTTTGTGTTAATGGATGTCAGCGTTATCTACCTGTATCGTCACTTTTGCGATTAGCGGTCGGAAGGATACTATATTTTCCGTTTGAATTGGGGAATTCAGCTGAGATTACTCATGTGTTATTCGCTAAAATTACTACTACCTACCCATTAAAATTCAGCGAATTACGGATTGGGTGTTCGATATTTGATTTCGGACCACGACAAGTGTCGCGATCTCAGTCGTCTCGTTTACTGCTGCCGCAGCAGATTTCATTGTGGGTATCACCGGAAGTGTCATTTCATGGATAACGTTTTCAACGTCCATTTAACGACGTTTTTCTATTACTCCTTTCACTTCATGGCCTCTTCACCTGAGTGTGCCCCTTCGCTTTTGGAGTTTTCCGCCTATCGAGCCACGTCATTTTTTCACTTCAACATGTCTTTGCGTTTCCTCCAGCCCGCTAACCGTCCGTTTTGTGAACAAGCACTTGCCCACGTCTTCTGCACAAGTGTCACTCGGTCGTTGTACATCCTGGCTGAACTGATTCAGCGTACCAAAGTGGCAGTGGCCGCACAGGAAAATCAGCTTAGCCAGAAATGGCGAAAAATATTGTATGAAAGCGACCTGAACCGGTTTTCGGAATCTGTACTAGTCACCGGTTGCGACAGTAACGTGCACAACGGAGTTGATGGTCCTTACATGGGTGATCGTCCGATGCCGGATATGAACACCGCGTCGGAATTAGATCCGAAGCAGAAGGCTCTTGCAGCTGAGAAAGCACAAGAAGCCCTTTCAACCTATCTACAGCCTGTAGATAGCAATCGCGTGGGTGATTACAGCAAACGTACAAATACAAAGCGCACGACGCAGAACCCGTCACACATACACGATGTCAACAACCACAGGAGTAGCGGGTCGACAGTAGACGATTTGGATTTTTACACCGTAAGTTAATCCCTCCCTTTTGTGTTATTTCCCTATGTTCTTGGCATGGGCGTTGTTATGCGATCTCTTCGCCGATTGCGTCGGTGTGTATGGCTTTTGGATTTCCACTACACTTTTCTTGTTTTATTTGTGGAGTGTACTCGATCTGAAATCACAGTATGTTCTTTGTGTCTGGCGTTTGACTTAATTACTGCTGGCATATCGCCCTCACTTTATGATTGGTTGTGTATCATGGGGCCCCACCTTCGTTTTATGTGGCAATCACCGATTCTTTATTCACGGTGTTTCACATTTCTATGCTCCGGTCTATCTGACACGATTTCTACTTCACGTATCGTCTATCACGACTGTAAGACAGATGTACATAGTGATAGCTTCTCACTTCGTTGCTTTCTACACATCGATTACCATGCCTCGTGTCCAGTTCGATCTTAATTTTGCGGTAAAACTAGACCTCAACATGGTGCGACGGTTTGTAAATCTTTTTGGCCCACTGGGCTAAGTGGTGTTCTCGAACCACTTGAACTGCTCCTACTGAATTGCGCAGTGGTTTGGGGTGGGACAAACTCAGTGTCCTGCTCCTCCAGCTTGTAGGTTAAAAATGGGATGGCGTCCGTTTCTGTAAAATCGGATTGTTGCTATATCCCCGCTGCCTTGCGGTCGCGGTTTTGAGCCAAGGGCTTTAGTTGAGAACCCTAATCGTTCTCCTGTTTAGATCTGGGCGCCATGGTTGTATCTCAAATTCGAGCTACATCGTGCATCCGTCGTCGCGCAGCCTCAAATCGGTCGCCTAATCTGTTACATACAGCAGGGAAGATAAGCGAAAACTTGCTGCTGCGGATGTATCCATTCCTTCTATTCCACCTGTTTCTTTTAATCCCCTTCCTATCCTCTTTTTGAATGTCATTTCTACAACCGCCAGCTTAGTTGATGGCAGTTGCAGCACCTTTGGTGTTCTGCCATCATTATCATCATCATTATACATGTCAGCTAGAGATGGTAAAACACCTCCGCTATTGTACCGCAATACATAAAGGAAATACATACATACATACAATACATAAAGGAAAAATAAATACGACAGTTGAATGCCAGCTGAGCTACCAGCAACGGATACGCATCGTTTCGGTAAGCTACTAGCCGGCTACTAGGCGAAAACAAAAATTTAATTACGTTTTACCCTACGAAATAAGATCGTAGATGGAGGGGTAGGCTAAACGGATGGGGAGGGACAAAGAAACTCACAGCAGGAACGCCACTGAGGTCGGCTCCTTGCCATATCAGCAAGTGTATCCAGCCAAACGTGTTCACCGTCTTTTGGACCCCTACCAGGGAGCCGTGAAGCTCCAACTGAGGCCAGCTCCGAAGTGAGGGCCTTCATTCCTCTGGACCAAGTCATCGCTTGGCCACCTCTCCTCTTCTTCCACCCACATCCCCGGTGAGCAAACAATGCACGTCGAGGGAGTCGGTGGGCTGGCATGCGCAACACGTATGTAGCTACATGTATATAGCTACATTTCTGCAGCACCTGTACTCATCTCACAGACAGTCCCTTATCAGGCCACGCTGTGCTGTTTCTCTGGCGGCGTTCAACCTTCGCACTGTATAACAGATAGGTCATCAGGCTGCACTTGTATGCACATTCGACACTGAGTGTTAAATTGTGCTGCGTGTCTTAAATTAGTATCAGTGACCCTCGCTCGGCTGTGGGACTAACTAGGTCCGACTTGTTCTGTCGCTACTGTTTGCACGCATCCGGTGATGCCGACGCAGCAATCACAAATCAAGCAGTGGTGGGCCTCGTTCTCAACCCCAAGGTTGAATCATTGTTGGTTGTTTGGATTCCCGTGAGCAGCCGTCTGTGTGCAGTCCATTTGACAGCATCAATCAAGCTCAATACTCGAATCAGTAACAGACGGTATCTATTTGTTATTGCCTCTTACCCACCCACCGACTGCAACCCTGAAGCCTCCAGGGACACTTTTTACAACGAGCTGGATAGGTTGCTTCGCAAATGGCATTATTGTTACTGGGGATATCGATACACAGATAGGTCGTTTTACCTCAGAAGCTCAGGTAGGTGGTGTGTTTTAGCTCATCTCTGGACAAACGGACAGTGGCGTGCGTTTATTTCATCTGTTCGCCGAGCATCGGTTGTTTCTTAGCAGCAGCAACCACAGTGAGCACCAGTCTGCCACTTGGCATCCTCCAGTAGCTGGCCAGCACTAGACCCCGATAGATCAGATAGCGATAAATTTCACTTGGCGCTTTTTCTGAGACCCACTCTTATCATGTCCTGGTTCGATCCCCTTTTTCCATGAACTTCACCTGGGTATATATTGTTGAGTAGTGCCATCCGGAAATCCAAAGAAGGTTTGGACAACGATCAGAGTCTGTTATTGAAGAATCAAGACATCGTTTATACTATATACAAATGGGGAATAGTTGTCTGCCAACATTGGTCGCTGCGACTTTCATGTTACTTTGCGTTCATTGGTCTCACGCACGGCTTGTCTGTCGGCATCTGCTCCGCTTTCATCTATTAGCCTTGAGTCGCGGTTGGGTACGACAGCTCCGCTTTGTGTGTCTGATCTGTCGTTCCTACCTCGTCTGCGTGTGGGTGTCCCGACTAAACCGATTCCCCAATGAGCCAGCAGCGCTTTCCTGCTCTGGCTGTTGATGCGTGCACCCGATTGGCTAATTTTCTATATGCTTCTAACTGTATTTCGCTCAATGGGCTCTCCGGTAACATACTCGCCTGACCCATTTGCAGCTACAGCCCGTGATTTGCCCGCATGGCTAGGACCGGCTCACCCGCCTTGCTCAAGCGACTAGCTATTACCACACCTTTACGTTTTTTGTTTGACCGCTGTTGCCACGTGCCGCGTATGTGACCTTCAAGTCTTACACTGTAGTGACAGGCGTTTGGTCCCGCATCAATGGTCCCAGGAAGTTGTCACTGAGACCATCAAGAACAGAACTGTTACATCAATTTTCCATAAAGAACGCCCTTTGGCCCCTTCCTCAGAGAACTACGAGGAAACTGCTCGGTTTTTATCTCGGGGTGTTGCTGACTGAGCCTTGGTGGGTTAGTTAAAAGCCGTTTTCGAGCTGCTGGTCCGGATTCTCTTGCACTCGCGCTGTTTAAAGATGGAAGTGAGGTTCTCTGCAAAACAGTAACTTGCCCGTTCGAACAGGTCCGAAAAGAAGTATCCATGCCAACCAACTGGAGTGAATCGATCATATTGGTGATATCTAAAAAGAGCAGTCGCACTCACTACGCTAACCAAAGGTGTGTTAGCCTGACGCTGGTAGTGACAAATCTACTGACCTCAATTCTCGCACATCGACTTAATACGGAACTGTAATCCCGGATGAAGGAAGAGCAGTCAGGCCTCTGTCCTGAACGAGTTTGTATATATCATATATTCACTATTCGTTACACCTACTGTAGACAGACGGTGGCTGTGTTCCATGATTTCAAGTGCGCGTTCGACCTTATTGATTGATACATTCTGTTCGAAATACTCGCGCGGAAATGTGTTCGCATCAAAATATGAACATTTTACATGCCATGTACTCGAACGCCCAGGCCACGTCAGAGTCCACGGTGATTAGTCGGATGTCTCCGACATCAAGTGACGTTTGCCATGGTTGTCCAGCTTACTCCTTTTTGTGCAACTGCATCGTCGACTCCATCATTGTTCCCTTGCGGGGTCTCACGATGTGTGCATTGACATACTGTTTGATAAGAATTGGTTGGTCTAGAGTATGTGGATGACATCGTTTTACTTTTTGACAGTCGCGAGGCGACTTAGTCAATCATGGATGAGCTTTCTACTACAGTACTTTTCTAACTGTGTTACTTCTAGCCGTGAAAGGTGGTACTTGTGTGGTTCTTTATTTTCCACACATTGATTTTTCTAAAATGCAAATTTTACTCTCGGCCGGTGGCCGAGTGGTCTGCGTGCCTGGTTTGCAACCATATGGCCACTGGTTCGAATGCGCGTAGGGGTGAGGGTCTTCGCAGTATACTCAGCTCTCTCGGGACTGGTAATGGTCGCGTGACAACGAAGTGCCGTCACGGCATGCAACTGGTGATTATTTATTTATTACTGCAAATGGGTGGAAGACTCCAAACCGGTTTACATAAGTTAAAAAGGTATTTCGCGCTTTACTTTTACATAGTTTCTGATGCCCCCTCCAGTCTCCTTCATTTCAGTTTCCACCTATCCGCACGTTGGCTTCTGTCCTCTATCCCCTGTAAACATCCCTCCTACACATGTTTGGATGCCTTCCTTTCCTCGTTGTCTTCCTTCCTGGATTTACGTGCATTTGACAGCTTCTTCCTCTAACCATCTTCTTACAGCACTTTATAAACTTCCACCTAGCTTTTGCTGACCTTTTTCTCAGCAATACGAAGAGAGAAGGAGCAACTGACAAAGCTAGGCTGTTTACTCGTTTGTTGTTTTTGTCCATGTTCGTCTGTTCCTGATAAAGTCATAATAAGCTAAATATTCAGTGTTTATTTTCGTTCTTATTTTGTCCCACTGTCGTATCTCCGTTCCGTATGCTTTTCTTTTCACCTCTTTTTGCTTACGGTTTAACCCGTTCTAGCATATGACTTTCAATCGTTTTATCTGTTTACACACCACACTTTGTTTTAAAGCAGTCCCTTAGTTAGTGTTATCTAACGGTCTAACGCCAATGTAATAATGATTGCCATTGTAAGGATTATAGTTACTTTTTCTTCAAATAACTACGGCAGAACTTAACGATTCATTGACGATGGTACTGGTCTTTGCAAAGTGATACTTGTTCAAAAATGTTAGAAAAACCTGTTCGAATAGATCCATCGTTTGTTGCAACTTTCGCACCTTCATTGCAGTGTTTTTGCTAAAGCAGTCATTTAATAGATTTTTGACTCTTGACGACAAGCAAAAATAAGTAGTTGATCAATTCACATAACTTTGGCATCTGCATTGGCAGCGATGGGTGTG